GAATAACCTCTGGAATAAACTGCAAATAGTGGTAAGTACTGAAGAAAAGACAACATTTAACCACCTAAACCGTCCTGCAGTGACCTAGCCCTAATTTTACCTCAGTCGATCAGTAACAGCTGACATTTATATGGCACTTCACTAGTTATAAGTATCTTGTAGGTACATAATCATATTTTTAGGTTCATGATCTGAGAAAATCCAAAAGGGTAACTTCCCACTGGAAATCCTCATTGTGGACTTGGACAATAAATAACGAAGATGAGACTTTATCACAGGAACTAAGTGACTGGAAGGGCCACAGGGACATGGCAGTAGCACCTGGCATGGCAGCACCTACATATTCATCCTCTGCAAAACTGCCCAACACACAGAGCTCCCTCACCCTTCCTGGCTTTCTCTCTTCTACCTCTGGGCCTCTCTCCCCTCAGCCTGTTAAATGGCCAACTTGCCATCCCTCCGCTCCTCAGTTTTAGCATTCAGTTCTTATTGTTGCATCTCCCTGCTTTCCAGAGCTCCTCATTACACAGGAGCAACATCTAAGCAAGGCCCATCACTCCCCAGACCACGTGGCCCCTTTGGTTGCCTCGGCTTCACGGTCTAGCGTCCTCTACCTCACCCTCCTTGCTCTGAGAACACTGCTTAAAGCAGGCAGCTCCACGCACAAACCACAGATGTGTTTTCTCACCTCGTACCTCTGCCCAGAGCACCTTCCTATCTGGAACAAAAGTCGGCACACTTTTGCTGTCAAGGGCCAGATAGTAAGTATTTGAGGTTTTGCAGGCCACAGAGTCTCCGTTGCAACAACTCAACGCACAAAAGCAGCCACAAACAATTCAGAAACAAATGAGCGTGGCAGTATTCCAACACACCTCGATTTATAGAAACTGGAGTTGGAATTTCATATTGTTGTCATGTGGCGTAAAATATTCTTGATTTTTTTTTCAATTATTCAAAAATGTAAAAACTATTGTTAGCTTGTGGGCTATATAAAAGCAGGTAGTGGGCTGGACGTGGCCCAGGGGATGTAGTTTGCCAGCCCCGGGCCTAGACTATTACTAGTCTTTTGCAGCCAGGTCACATGTCACTTTATTTGGTAAACTCCCCTGAGTGTTGAGCATTCTAAGCAAAAGGTCCCCTGTCTAGGCTCTGATGGTGTTAAGGGATCTTTGGGGTGTTGCTTTTCTTGCTGGAAACCTGTGGCCGGTGGTGTCTTTGCCTGAGTTTTGCTTGGGGCCTGCTGGGCTTGTTCCGCCCACTTGGCCATGTAGGCTGTGCTCAGCTCATACTACCGGCCTGGATCCCACACCTCCCAGGGAGACTGTGAGTCAGGCATGGAGTGGCGAAGGCTGTGTGAGCAAGTGAGGGGTCCAGCCACTGTGCAGTCAGACACACTGGCTGCTGCCATGATGCGGGCAGCTCCAGGTGCCAGCATGGGTGCCAGCTCTCTGCAAGGCTGCAGCCGGACCAGGCACACCACAAGCAGCTTCCCCTTCTGGCACTGGGAATTGCAATGGTGCCCAGAAGCTTGGAGATACCAGGAACCAAAGAGAGAGTCACAGCCCTGGCTTGGGCAGCTCCCAGGTCTGGGCCCCCTGAAGGGCTACGGCTCTTCTCCCCTTCTCTTCACTTGCAACGTGGTGAGCAAGGGGCATGTTTCAACTCTGTTTGTGTTACAGTTCTTTTAGCCCTGCCATTTGATGGGTCCTGAGTTCTTGTCCTGCAACAAGGAAGAATGAGTTACGCAGAAAAGTGGAGGGTAAGCAAAACAAAGAGGAGTTTTGTTGAGCAATACAACAGCTTAGAGGGGACCCGCAGGGGTTAGGTCCTTTCTAAGCCAGGGCATCCCGATGAGTGTTCAGATCCTAGCACAGAGGAGACCCTGGAGTGAGAAGCTCCGCTCTGCAGGCAGGTCATCCCATCATCTCTGCAGCTCTCAGCAGAGAGGTGGCACTGAACTGGGTCATTCCTCTCTACATGCAGGTCATCCCATCATCTTCCTAGCTCTCAGCATACAGGAGGTCCTGGGTGGGTAGCTCCTCTTTGCAGCTGGTCATCCCAATGTCTGCTCAGCTTTGGCAGAGCCTGGGGCTTTTATAAGCCACAGAGGGGAAGAAGTGAGTGCCAACTGGCCCATGGCCATGGGTGGGCCTGGAAAATGAACCACACGTTCCCACTCCAGTCGGCACGACTGACAGCCCACCCCGCAGCCTTCAGGCCCTGCCTGACGTGAAGGTAGGACCCCTTCCGCCCAGGAACCTGTCTGCCTCCTGCTGATGTTTATGGTGCCCAGGCTGTAGGTGCCAAGTGGCACCTGTAGGCCAGCGCAGAGCTGTCCTCAGTGCCCCCTTGGCTTCACACCTATGCTCATTGGCACCCAAAGTCCAGAGAGGGCTAAGGTGGAAGGGGCCTGGTGTGTCAGCACTGCCCTAAGTGTGTGCACACCCAGCCAGGTTGTAACAGCACTGGACTCAGCCCTGACTTTGCTCCATGATCAGAGCAGTCGCTGACAACAGGGAGAAACTAGGCAGCAGGAGCAGCCACTTCTGAGCCTGTGAGGGCAGGGGTGGCCTTCCCAGGCCTCCAAGAGCACAGAAATGTCTAGGTCTGCAGTTTGCTTTGGGTGGCTGCAGCTGTGCCTGGGAGTGTGGGGTTCCTGCCTGCTACTGGCCCCTCCAAGAGCTCAGGGATGCCTGGACCCACAGTCGTGGCTTGGGTGGCTGCAGCGGCACCCAGGGAGCTCCTGTCCCAACTTGGAAGGGGCGGGGCACCCGCTTGTCCCCAGTTCCCACTGGCTCCATGGAGTGTGCATACCTGGTTGCACCTCCCTGCTGCAACCAGCGTGATAGCAGTGGCTGCTCCAGAAGGCCGGCCCCTGCCATCAATGGCACCCAATTCATACTTGTCAGCTCTTTCCATTAGATACTGATAATCTGCTTACATTTCTGACTGTCTACCAGCAACTGAGGCCCTTATGGGCAGGGCTGGTGATGCAGGCCTGGCCTGCTTCTCCCAGCAGCCACTGAGTGGAATTGGGCACTCTGGGATGGTGTCTGAGCCATCTTCCCTGGTTCACCTGGGGACCTAGAGGACAACAGATCACTGAGCATGAAAAAGGAGTGTGTGGGCCACAGTGGGGGCCAGACCCAGTTACCTGGTCTGGAGAGAAGGAGGCAGTCATTATGGAAAACATGTACCATGGTCTGAATGAGTGTGTCTCCCCAAAATTCACGTTGAAATCTAATCCCCGAGGTGATGGCGTTAGGAGATGGGGCCTTTGGGAGGATTAGAGGCCCCAGAGAGCTACCCTGCCCCTTCTACCATGCCAGGAACAGTGAGAAGTCACCGTCCATGAATTAGAAAGTAGGCCCTCACCAGACACAGAAGTTTCCAGCACTTTGATCTTGGACTTCCCAGCTTCTGGAACTGTGAGAAATAAATTTCTGTTGTTTATAAGCCATCCAATCTATGGCATTACAGCATAAGAGCCTGAAGGCATTAAGATGGCATAAAGTGATGCTTGAAACATGAAAACTCCCAGAAGGAGAGTAGGTCCTCCAAGGGGGGAGGGGCATGTGAAGAGGAGGGCATTTCCCTGCTGTAGGTGTCTTCTAAGGCTTGGAGGCGGTTTCCTGCCTCAGAATAACCACCACTACCCCAAACCCATAGGCTCAGAATTTCCCACAGTGCCTGGGGATCTGCATTTTAAGTAGGTACACCAGGTGATTCTTCTACAAATCACAGCTTGAGAATGACCCTGCCCTGCTTGAGCTCAGACTATTTGGCGGTCTCTGAAGATTGATTCAGGCTGCATCAAAGTTAGGGACATTGGGGTAATTGCCTGTCCAGCACCCATATAACTCTAGCAGGAAGCACAGATATCCCAAGGACTCCCAGGGGTCTAAGACAACACTGGCCACCATATGGGCATCCACAGAGCAGCAGAACACAGTGCATCCATGCAGGTGAGCTCAGCAACGGCGGGCAGGGCCGGAGCAGCAGCAAGACATTTGTGGAGAACAAGATATGAGGAATGTGAGGAGTAGGGATGGCAGTGGGGTAGACACTAAGCCAGCAGATATAGGACAGGCCTAGCTCATTAATCAAGCCACCTGGAAAGGTCAGACACACAGACTGCAGTCAGCCTCTCTGGTTTGAGTCCTAGCTCTACTTCTTACTAGCTGGGTGGGTGACCTTGGACAGGTTATTTCATCTCTCTTTGCCTTAGTGCCTCATCGGTAAAATAGCAACAATAACAGTTCCTACCCATGGATTGCTGTAGGATAAAATGGGTTAACACATGTGAATATATCAGAACAGTATCTGAGATGCAGCTGGCATCATGCTGCCATTGTTGTCATTGTTATTACCATCAAGAATCCACAGCCAGTAGGACCGAAAAAGCATTTATGCTACCAAATTAGTGTTTGGTAAACAGTTGTTCAACTGCACTGAACTATGCCAAGCTGCAACCTGGGTCTCTCCTTGCCTAGCGTGTACCAGGCTCCAAAACTAACTCTACCTTCCTCTTGGGGTCTCGACTCTTCACAGAGAAAAATGATTGACTTCAGGTAGGCTTAGGAACCAATATGGATGAAATGCAGCTTCTAGAATTGTACTACCCTGACTTTGCCATTTAGAGTATGGTCAAAGTGTTTAAGCTCTATAAGACTTCCTTTTCTTATCTGTAAACATGGCAATAACCTCCAGCATACGGTTTTTGTGAAAATTTAAATAAATGATATTCTTTTTAAGTTAATGATCTTTTCTTCTCAAAAAGAAAAGCAATCTAGCTAGGGTTATTTATATGGTAATGAACTTAATCTGGTTGAAGTGCCAGTATTTTTATAACATTGAAAAAAGCAGAAAGCGAATCTATTTAAATCATATATATTACATTTCTAATTGGTGGGATAAGATCACGGAGTCCCCTCTTTTGCCTTTTGTCTACTGTTAACCCACCACTCCAAAACGCACAACAGGAGAACAGGTTGTCTGGATATACTGTGTTTATTTTAGCTGTTCCTATGGAATAAATTCCTTCTGAATTTAGTGGCTTAAAACAACGATAAACATTTATTTTCTTACATCATTTCTATGGATCAGGAAATTGGGAGCAGCTTAACTGAGTGGTTCTGGTTCAGGATGTCTCAAGAAGCTGTAGTCAAAAGTCATCTAGGGCTGCAGCCATCTGAAGGCCTAATTAGAGGTGGAAGATTTGATTCCAAGATGGTGCACTCACGTGGCTGGCAAGTCGGTGCTGGCTGTTGGAAGAATTCCTCATTTCCTCATCATGTGGCCCTCTCTGCAGGGCTTCTTGAGTGTTCTCACAATATGGCAACTGGCTTTCCCAAGAGCAAGTAATCCAAAAGAAAGCAAGGGAAGCTGCAATGACTTTAGTGACCAGTCTCAAAAATCACACTCTCTCATTTCACAGTGTCCTATTGGCTGCACAAGTCAGCCTTATTCAAAGTGGGAGGAGATGACACAGGGTGGAATATCAGCAACAGAATCATTGGGGGCCATCTTGTAGGCTGGCCACCACATTTACAAAGGACTTAAAGCCTGTTTTCTCAAGAATTAGATTAAATCAACTTTTAAAATATGCTGTTTTACTTTAAAACTCCCTTGGTCAAGACTTCACCAAGATTCTTGAGTTTAAACAAATGCTGGAAATAGGAAGTTAATTCCCAAGGCCATATTTTGCTTATTCTTGACTGGGTATGGTATGAGTGGGTGGATTCTTCTGGGGGAGTACATCAAGCAGTAAGACATGGCATTTCTCACCCTGAAACAAACAGTTTAGTGTCTTCTCAAACTTTGTATTGCCGGCACATGTGTGCTAAAAGAAAAACCTTAGACAAATTAAATTTAACACGGTTTAGTTGAACAAAGAATGATTTGCAAATTGGGCAGCCTCCCAAGCCAGAGTAGGCTCAGAGACTCCAACGCAGCCACCTGGTGGAAAAGTTATGGTAAGAAAAAGAAAAGTGATACACAGAAAACAGAAGTGAGGTGTAGACACAGCTGGGTTGGTTATATCTTGGCATTTACCTTATTTGAACATGGTTTGAACAGTTGGCCCTCTTTGATTGGCCAAAACTCAATGATTGGCACAGACAAAGGTTACAGTGTGTTTATACCTCCATTTAATTTATAGTTCACCATATAGGCAGAAACCTTTAGGCTAAATTTAAAATATGTAAGGAGGCAGCTTTAGGCTAAACTTGATTTAACATGTGTGTATGGTAGATATCAGAGTATTTTGCAACAATATCCATGTTCTCTTCTTCCTGAGATAGGTCCTTGGGACTAATTCTTACCAGTGGGATGTAGGCAGAAATTATGTATGTCATCTTCAGACTGAGGCGGTTGAGTGGAATGCGATTTATCCATTCTCCCTCTCTTTTGTCACCTGTTGATAGGATGCAAAGCATTGGTAGAGGAAACCATGGCACTAGAAGATGATAGAGCAACCAGTTTGAAAGAGCCTGGATCCCTGAATTAATGTACGCAGCAGAGCTCTCTCTCTGCCTCCTGAGAGATCCATGTTGAATGATGATGAGAGTGAGAAATAAACCTTCATTGTACGAAGCCACTGAAATGGGTTTTTGTTACTGCAGCAAGTATTACTTGCTGTGACTAATGCCAAGTATAAATCATATTTAAATCTTTGCCATCCTGGGATTCAATTTAATTATTACAAAACTAAATTCATGTCTACTTTAATATTCATGTTTTCTCATAGAAGATACCATTTTTTAAATAATAAGAGTGCCAAGCCCCAGAACATAGCTGTAAGGTGAAAATGTATAATGTCATAACTTATTACATGACATCTGGGTCAAGAGAATAGAGGAGATGGTGGGATTTAAAAATAAGAAGTAAATAAGGGTTATAAAAAATGCAATACTATATAAAAATTGATCCAATGTATTCAAAAATTAAGGACTCTCTATCTCTTAATAAATACCAAAGCACCACAAGATTCTTTATATACACCAAGGACTAGGCCAGTAGAAAAAACAAACAAACAACTTTAACCTTATAATTCTAGAATGAAGGATCATCTCTAGAGTCCTCAGTAGGGCACTTATAAACAGTTCCTAAAATCTTCTCGGCACAATCAAGGGCTGTTTCTCGATCTCTTTCTATAAAAAATTTGATGGCATTCTTTTTTTGTAATTTAGACTCTATTAGTCTGTTCTCAGGCTGCTAATAAAGACATACCCAAGACTGGGTAATTTATAAAGAAAAGAAGTTTAATTGACTCACAGTTCCACATGGCTGAGGAGGCCTCACAATCATGGCAGAGGAGGAAGGGGAACCAAGCTACATCTTACATGAAGGCAGGCAAGAGAGCGTGTGGAGGGGAACTGCCCTTCATAAAACCATCAGATCTCGTGAGACTTACTCAGTATCACGAGAATAGCACGGAAAAGGCCCACCCTCCCAATTCAATTACCTCCTATGGGGTCCCTCCCACTACATGTGGGAATTATGGGAGCTACAGTACAAGACGAGATTTGGGTGGAGACACAGCCAAACCACATCAGACTTTATTCATTTTGGTTCTTCCCTTGAAGAAACTGAGTCCCATAAGGAAATGGAGGAAAAGAAAACATGGCCAGCAGTGCCGACTCTCACCCCATTCACTTCCCGCCCTCGAGGGTGTGCTGCCCTTTCCTTAGCACCACCCAATCCAGGGCCATCACCATCGCAGTGGGGGCTCTTCGTGTTCCCTGAGTTCTCAAACTCAAGCGTTTCTTGGGGCAGCAGCGGGGGGCCTGCGCCATGGAACTCCCGGCTCCCATGAGGGCTTCGGAGCCTGCTGGCTCTTCCGGCTTTGAGCGTCCGCACGAGAAGCCCCCTGCTGGCCACATTCGTGGCGTGGGGACCCCGGGCTAAATAAATTTCGTTTCTCTCTTCTCCCTCCTGTCTCCACTACTTTCCTTTGTTGGCTCTGGACTTGTTCCAAATGCAGCCCTACTAAACGTTCGGGGGGCCTGAGTGTTTCTGGCTTTAAGGGCTGCAGTGGGGCAGGGGGGTTAGAGGGGCCGGGGCTGTGCTGGAAGATGGCGTGTGTTAAGTGATCGTGGACACAGTGGTATTTACAGCCTCACTAACGTGCCTTGTCTTGCTTCCTTAGCCTCTGACTGTGAATAAAACAGTTCTATTTTTTTTTTTTTTCCCCAGACAAATGAAAAAGCTGGGTAAAGAAAGTAATCATTTACTTTGTGTCTTGGAATATGACATTTCTTTTCTAACATCTTTCCGAAAGCTGGAGTTCCCTAACGTCCTGCTAAAGAAAATGAGTGACATCTTTCAGAGGGCGAGGAAATTTATGCGCTGTAAAACAATTTCCAGGACGTTGGAGATGAGTAATTTCTCTATCAGTATGTGTACAAAAGAAAAGGGAGCCAGGGCGCTGATGTAACTGTACGAAAAATAAAGAAATGTGTGGCAAAGGAATAGTAAAAATACTTGAACTGAAAACAAAGAGAAGTCATCATTCTTTATAGTTTGGCTCTAGTCACTGAACAGTTGATTTAGATGACTAAGTCTAACACATCTGTATTTACATGATCTGGAAGACATAAATTACTAACACGTAGAAAAATTTTGGAGAGGGGAAGTAAACTACAGCTTAAGTATCTGATGAAGTTATCTAGCAAGACTCATTTTTTCTTCTCTGCTGAAGTCTTGATTACATCTAGCATGACTGTGCCATCTAGTGGTTTCACAGTCACTGCCTCAAGTTGGAGGATACAGTTCGCAAAATTGCTTTGAATATCCCGTGAACTCTTGGGTTGGTGCAAAGTTAATTGCTGTTTTTCCCATTAAAACAGCAATTTATTTTGCACAAATTTGGCCCAATAAGAAAGAGATTGAAAGAGTATTTCCACGGCACCCACACGCAGCTAATTCTGAATTACTTAAGCCAATCATGGCATGAAAGGTCATGAACTTCACACAAATGCCTAAATTCAAACCACTGATTTTATCATCTAAAAGCATCTACTTGGTGTCAAAATGTGTATTGTGGCTGTATATCAAAGACACCATCAGAGTCTGTGAGCTTTGTCACTGTCCCCAGATGTTTATCTGCATCTGCAGATAGAGAGCTGCAGGCTTCTCTTTCCTTTGTTTATAAGGTGCTAAGACATAGCGAGAATATCTGTAGCAACTAATAAGGATAGAGAAGAACCTCCAAACTCAATAGTCATCCATCAAACAGCCAAAGGCTGATGTTCTTCACACAATAACGTTAACTTCCCCATATTTCTTGCTCTGAAACATTGGGGATCTTTGATCATTTTAGCTCCAAAGTTGGAGCCCAGCCACACCAGCTTGTGCTGTCTCTTCCTCTACCTGGAATTTCCTGCTCTCTCATCTGCATTCTGGAGGCCACCAGTGCCCACTTAAGGTTGTTCCCAGCTCGCAAATGTCCCCAGTTCTGTGCAATTCCTTGCTAAGCCACTCACGTTCTCAACTGTGGGTACCTCAATGCTAACCACAGTACAAGAGCCACAAGAAACTTGGGGAAGAAAAATAAGAAAACAACCTCCAGCTCTCCAGGGAATAAATAGTGATAGTTTACGTTACAAGTTGTTTTGAATAACTGTACACTTCATGTAGATATATAAAAACGTGAATGTACAGAGTGGTAAAACAGCTAGGCTAAGAGGGGAGCAAGGTGGGGCCAGAACCCTCTATAACGTTTGGAAATGTTAGAAAAATGGATATGTGTCATAATTTTTTAAACATAACTCTACTTTTAAAACTAGAGTATTCCGAATCATTGACAGGATTTTAATTGAGATATAATTTACCTAACATAAAATTCATCATTTAAAAGAGTACAGCTGAGTGGTTTTTAGTATATTCACAAAGTTGTGTAACCATCACCTCAAACTGAGTTTAGGACGTTTTCATTCCTCCTAAAATAAACCCGTATCCACAGCAATCACTCCCGATGCCCCCTTCCTGCTCCAGCCCTTGGAAATCACAAACGTACTCTCTATCTCTATGGATTTGCCTATTCTGGACATTTTACGCAAATGGAATCATACAATGTATGGCCTTGGGTGTCTGGCTTCTTTCACTCAGCATGTTTCCAAAGCTCATCCATCTTGTAGCATCACAGTACTTTCTTTCTTTTTATGGCTGAATGATATTCCGTTGTATGGGTATACCAAACTTTACACATTCATCAATTGATGGACATGTGTTTTTTCTACTTTTACTATTATGAATAATCCTGCTATGAACATTCTTACACAAGTTTTTGTACATGATTTTTTTCAGTTTTTGAACATGAATATTCTCAAAATATGCTTGGGTATATATATCTAGGAGTGGAATTTCTGGTTTACATGGCAATTCCATGATAAGAATTCTATGTGACAATTCTTTAATTCTGAAAAACTGTCCAGTTGTTTTAGGCAGCATCTGCACCATTTTACATTCCCACCAGCAATGCGTGGGGGCTCTAATTTCTCTATATTCTTGCCAACACTTGTTATTTTCTGTACTTTAAAAATATATTACTATTATAGCCATCTTAGTAGATATAAAGTGGTCAATGGTTTTATTTTAAAGAGCAAATATTAATGCAAATACAGACTAGAAAACAAATCAATGCTCTTTGGAGATTGAAAAGATCTCATCATAATAAAGTCAATTACATACTTCTACCTCACTTAGCACAGAGGAGAATAATTACACAGCCTGTTCAGATACAGACTTTGCTACTAGGGCGTTTGTAGGATGCGAGAGTGAGTCAGAACTGTCTTCGTTCATCCCACTGATGCAAGAAGGTTCTCTACAATTTATCTGACAGTTAATCGTTTCATTCATTTCATCCAGTGGCAGGAAATTCTTTTCTTACCATTTTATTTACAATGTCTAGAATGCCGTTCTTGACATTTTCAGTTTGTCATCTTATAACTTCCTGTAAATTTTTAAACCGAGTGACAAATTTTAAAGTATACCAAGCCACCTACCATGTCCTCGGCCTCAATACTTCTTTCCATGAAGCCACCTTCACATATTAACCTTTTCTATAAAGTCATAGTTTCCATTCCTATACCATCTCTGATACTTTCCTCTAGATATTACAGTGTGTCAATATCCTTCTAAGCAGCTATCCCTCAAATATGAACAAAATGTGCTCTGGCCAGTGGGGAATGCTATGAGACCTTTATTGGTTGTAGTACTATGTTTCTCTTAATAATACAGTGCAAGTCTGCAGGACATTTTGCAACTATGTAAGATAGCTCAAATAGTGCTTCCACCAAATCTGCTAAAATCCTCAAGACTTTTTCAAATGACCTGCTGTTACCCGGCTGCTCTTGGGTAGTTGGTTTTTGAAGTGTATATTTCTCCATATTAAATCTCATTTTAAAAATTTTAGTCTATAATTCCAGCTTGTTATAATCTTTTGGATTCACCCCACCATGCCAGCTTTATGTCAGTTACAAATTAGAAAGATATTTTTATTGATGTTTGACCAATTCCTTATTATGAACCATGCAGAAAGCCTCCTCTCCGGATGAGCATCTATTCTCGGATGCAGCATCATCCAGCAACAATGACAGAATAGCTGTTCACTTGTCTGCCTCACTATTAGATTGAAATCTCACTGTCCGTGTTAAATACTAGTCACTTAATAAATATGTGTTTAATTGAATTGAAAAATTTCCCTTTCAAATGTCAGCCTAGAGCTTTGTTGATGTCCCTTGATAAAAATCCCACTCTTTAGCTATCTTAAGCCATGGAAACAAAACAAAACAAAACAAAACAAAAAACACCATTCGATGACACTTTCTGTACAGCTAACAATTCACTTCCTAATATATCCTCCTTCATCTTTCAAGTTCTCAAAAAAAATCCCTTACATTTTTTCAGGCTTTTTTATGTGCCAGGATTTATGCTAAGCATTTTATGTAAATTAACTCATTTCATCCTTACATCAAACCTGTAAGTTCCATTTTTATTTTCATTGTAGGTATGAGAAAACTGAGGCACAGGGAATTTAAGTAAATCATCCAGGGTCACATGGTCAATTGCTTAGTAGAGTCAGAATCTGAACCCAAGTCAGTTCCAAGCCAGAGTTAGAAAGCCTTTTATGAAGTTGTGACCATCCTCTTGAAAAGGAGAAAAACTCCTATTTGTGATATCCTACTGACAGCATCCATTTTCTTAGCTACATTCCAAAGATTTCTGCCAGTAACCGATGCCTTTCATTTAAAAGTGATCCACAGGGGAATGGTTGCCTCAGGAAGAAGAGGGAATGAATTGAAACTGAGGTAGGAGGTAAGACTTTACTCCAAACTGGATTGAAGACTGGCTGAAACAGGGAGGAGGTGAAAGCACCTCTCCATAAGACATGTATTACTCAGGGTTCTCTAGAGGGACAGAACTAATGGAATATATATATATATATATAGGAGTTTATTAAGTATTAACTCACATGATCTGTCTAGAGAGACAGAACTAATGGAATATATATAGAGAGGGAGAGAGAGTGAGACGAGTTTATTAAGTATTAACTCACAAGATCACAAGGTCCCACAATAGGCTGCCTGCAGGCTGAGGGGCAAGGAGAGCCAATCCAAGTTCCAAAACTGAAGAACTTGGAATCCAGTGTTTGAGGTGAGGAAGCATCCAGCATGGGAGAAAGATGTAGGCTGGGAGGCTAGGCCAGTCTCTCTTTTCACATGTTTCTGTCTGCTCATGTTCTAGCCATGCTAGCCACTGATTAGGCTGTGCCTACCCAGATTGAGGGTGGGTCTGCCTTTCCCAGCTCACTGACTCAAATGTTAATCTCCTTT